AATAATATCCATCTGCAGTGTGACTCCAATCGACCGGCATGTTTGCGTGTGTGTGTGTGTCTGGGTTTCTGTGTTAGAGGGCGGGGCCACAGGTTTCAAATCTCCCAGGTTTGCGCGTGCACGTAAATAACAGAGAGAAAAGTCTATGGCTTGGGTGGCTGGAGTCACTGATAATTCACTTGACTTTCCTCATGCACCGCCTGGTGTAGATGTCGTGGTGGGAGGGAAGCTCACCTCCTACTACGCGTCCAGCAGTTCACACAATCCTATTTAGGCCTTTGCGATTGCTGCTGGTGCTATTTACATACCAGGTGGTGATACAGCCACACAGGATGCTCCCCACAGTGCAGGTGTAGAATGAGCGGAGGATGTGAGTGCTGACTCTCTTCACTGGTGTCCCGTTGATGGTGATGGGGGTGTGTTCTCTATTCTCTTTCCTGAAATCCACCACCAGCTCCTTGGTTTTGCTGATGTTGAGTGAGAGGTGGTTTTCCTCACACCACTGCGTCAGAGTGTGCACCTCCTCTCTGTTGGCCGTCTCATTATTATCTGTGATTAGGCCCACCACTGTTGTGTCATCAGCAAATTTAACAATGACGTTGGAGATGTGTTTGGCTGTACAGTCATGTGTGTACAGGGAGTAGAGGAGTGGACTGAGAACACAGCCCTGTGGATCACCAGTGTTGAGGATCAGTGTGGATAAGGATATGTTGTTCATTCTGACCACCTGGGGCCTCATGTACTAAGACTTGCGTGGAAATCTTACTAAAACATTGCGTACGCACAAAGCTGTAAATGTGCGTACGCAGAAAAAAATTCAGATGTATGAAACACTGCGTACGCCGAATCTCACGCATATTCTTTTGTACATCCGAATGAACGTGAAACTGAGCGCAACATGCACGAGCGCAAAACCCCTCCCTGCCTCCTCCCCCGTATGAATATGCTAATGACTATGCTAATGGCAAAACCCAACGAAAAAGCAATGGCAAAGCAAGCAAGAAGAGAAACTTTGAACAGAATGTGAATTGGTGGTGCTCCTTTCGGAGGTAGACAGGAGAAAAGCGGTGTTATTTGCAAGTTTGTTCTCAGGAATTAACAACAAAAGAAAAAAATTGAGTGGGAGAGTTTAGCTGATGCGGTTAACACAGTTGGGTCTGAACATCGCACTGAGTGCATTAAAAAAAGAAATAGTGTGGTTTATATCTGTAAAATGTTGCAACACTCGCAACATTCTCAGTGGCGCGCTCGTAGGACGCATGTCATCATGTTTTGACACGTTCGAGCATGAACTCGGCTCGAATCCAGCGTCTGATGAACTCTTTCTTCTTTTTTCCCCCGCTACATATCAGATTTTGCCTACTATTTATCACGAGAAAGACAAGTAGGAATCATCAATAAGTTTGTGCATCATATTTTATTTGCACATTTATTGAATGGAAATGTTTCTGATTCACGCATGCAAATTCATCTTCAGATGGTGCCTTTATAGCAATGTGCGTGCGGTAGATAGCTCAGATTACATTGGGAAAACAGGCGACCGCTGCAAATTGTGCTTTAATGTTTAGCTGCTCAACTGTATGGTATGGAAATCGTATTTACCTGCTAGATCGATGAACCCGTCTCATACAGCTGCCATTGCAAGGCTCAGTCACTTTGTAGAGAGGAATTTAACACAACTGCCTCTAGGAGTCGCCAATGGAAATAAAACAGACACGCACAAAAAATGTGCATACGCCAGCCAGAAAGCTGCCGTGAAGCTGCGCACATTCCCACGTTCAGTTCATTGTTAGTAAATCCAAACGTGAGCGATTCTGAGCGTGAAACCTGGCGTACGCAAAGTTTTTGTGCGTACGCAGCGTTAATACATGAGGCCCCTGGCGTCTGTTTGACAGGAAGTCCAGAATTCAGTTGCACAGAGAGCTGTGTAGACCCAGAGCTTGGTGCTTCACCACTAGTTTGGCAGGCACTGTAGTGTTGAATACTGAGCTGTAGTCCACAAACAGCATTCTCACATATGTGCTTTTATTTTCCAGGTGAGACAGAGCAGTGTGCAAAGTGAAAGCAATTGCATCATCAGTGGAGCGATTATTCCTGTAAGCAAATTGCAGAGGGTCAGTGTGAGCGGGCGGTACAGAGCAGATGAGCTTTTTAATCAGCTTGTCAAAGCACTTGCTGAAGATGGGTGTCAAAGCAACTGGACGCCAGTCATTTAAGCATGTGGTTTTAGATTATGTCGGTATGGGCACAATAGTAGCTGTCTTAAAGCATGTGCGAACCACAGGCCGAGAGAGCGAGAGGTTAACGATGTCCGTAAAAAACCCCCGCTAGCTGGTGTGCGCATGCTTTAAGTACACGTCCAGGGATGCCATCTGGGCCGTAGCTTTCCGAATGCTCTTGTGACGCAAATATCTCGTTACGTCCGCTACAGAAACAGAGTGTGCTGGCGGTTTCGATATCGGCCGCGGGAGCGCACAGTGTGTGGGTGCTGTCCTGGGCTTTAAAGCAGGTGTACAACGAGTTGAGCTCGTCCAGGAGAGACGCAGAAATGTTGACAGTGGCGGGTTTGCTACTTTTAAAGTCTGTGATGTAATTAAGTCCCTGCCACATACTTCTCCCCTCTACCTCTGTATTGATGTTTTGCCTGTTTTTGATAGTTTACCTGATGTTGTAGTTTGCTTGTTTTTGTTCCTCAGCATTTCTGGATTTATAGGCGGAGGTTCACACTGATAGGACTGTTCGAACTTCGCCATTAATCCATGGTTTTGGGTTGGGGTAGTTACGGACAGTTTTTGTTGGGACCATGTCTTCTATACACTTTCTGATGAAGCATGTAACAGTGTCTTGAGTAAACTTTAGGTCGTACTCACACTAGGTACAGTTGCCTCAAACTGGGCCAAACCACGCTTGTCCCCCCTCCCGTCTCCCCCGACGGCCCGCACTCACACCACAAATGGGCCTCGGCACGCTTACGTCATCGCTGCTGCGCTGTTCAGTGAAAAGCGCTTTCACTCACTCAGCAGCACAGTGGAGATTTCTCTAGTTATATCGTTTCAGTCGTTTGATATGCAGTGACATAAATTATATATTTCAACAAACAGTCCTTAGGGATGCATTTACACGCAGTCAGATATTTCGCCAAACAGATCCGCCACTTTTGGCGCTTATAAACAATCATAAAGCCCTCGTGCTGCAGGAATGAGGAGGTTTGCTGAAGGCACGCAACTGTTGTGCAGTGAGATGTCTGTGTCTTTAATAAATTACGGCAGTTTGCGTTCACTGAACAGTAAGAATGATTAATAAATCCATATGAAACAATCCCTTAAAGTCACGTCTCTCTTTCAGTTTCGGGCTTTGGCACGTTTTGCACTCACACAACAAATGTACCGGCCAAGTGAACCGCGCTCAGGCCCTTCTCTTCCAACCGGGCTAGGGCCAGCCAAGTGAACCGTGCTTGAGCCCGATTCAGCTAAGGGTCTTCTCAACGATCCGGGAAACTCACACTTCTCAAACGATCCGGGAAACGGGCCTGGGCACGGTACGGATGGCATAGTGTGAATAGGCCCTTAATGTTGTCATCAGAAGCTGCCAGGAACATCTCCCAGTCCACATGATCAAAACATTCTTGAAGTATAGAATCCGATTGGTCCGTCCAGCATTGAAACGTCTTGAGGGTGGGTGGTTCCCGTTTCAATTTCTGCCTGTAAGCAGGCAAGAGCAGAACAGAAGAGTCATCTGATTTGCCAAACGGTGGGCGGGGGAGGGATTTGTTGGCGTCCCGGAACAGAGAATAGCAGTGGTCCAAAATACGGTCACCACGCATGTTTGTGGTGATATGGTGATAGTATTTTGGAGCGATTGTCCAGAGATTGGCATTGTTAAAGTCCCCTGTAACAATAAACGCTGCCTCTGGGTGTGTGGTTTCCTGCTCGCTTATGCTCCCATTCAGTTTCCCAACCGCCTGCTCTGTGTTGGCTTGAGGGTGGATGTAGACAGCTGTAATTATAACAGCTGTGAACTCTCTTGGTGGCCAGTGTGGTCGGCACCAAAGCATAAGGTATTCCAGATCAGGAGAACAAAATAATCTAACTGGATGTATGTTTCTCAACCATAAGTTGTTAATAAATAAAAAAAACACCTCCTTCTTTGCTTTCCCCTGTCAGTTCTTTCATTCTATCCACAGTTTCTTATCCATAGTATTCTATCCATAGTATTCCCTGTCTGCTAAACAAATTTTAGAGAAACATTTTGTTGTAATTATGAATATATACAAATAAAAATAGGCCATTGTTACGACCCCCTCGTTCAAGTTGCAACATAAAAGAGCTCAGACGACAAAAAAATTATATATGCAACTTATTCATTATACACAACTAATAAAGCAACAAATCAAGAAACAAACAAATGTCTAGGGGAAAATAAAGAAAATAACTAACTTTAACTACACATAAATAATGCCAAACAAAACCATAAGGTTGCCAAAATAAAGAGATGGTCTTGATGCAAGGACGGCCAGTAGCCACACTATCCTACAGAAGCTAGCTCACTCTCGCATTTATATGCTTTGAACCAATTGGGGAGCAACCATGGCACCTAATCCGGATCTGCCACATGCAAACTAGAATACCGGGGTCGTCACACCATTTACACCTTTCGAATCTGTGTCTTATCAATGTGACCAAAATTTCTTTTATGATGTATTATGTAAGAAACTCTAAAAACTGGACTGACACCGTTTCAATTTATTATAAGTTCTATGTTAAGCGGCTTTGACAGTTTACATTGTAAAAGCACTAGATAAATAAAGATGAATTGAATAGAATCTGCTTAAACGTGTACACGTTAATGGACCAAACACAATATGATCTGATTTATTTCACATTTAATGTGCATCAGAAATACAATGTGTGTAGCCAATGTTTCCAGTGTCTTTTCACTTTTCAGCTTTTGATGAGAGTTTTTAAGACTTAATGAAAACTTTTTTTTTTTCAGACCTAATTGAAGAGAGTGAGGGGAGTAAAGAGGAGGAACACCATGTTAAAATTGAGGACAAAACTCATTTACAGACTGATGGTATTTTGAAAAGGAGAGACAAGAATCGTTTCACCTGTACTCAGTGTGGGAAGAGTTTTGGAGGAAATGGCAATCTTAAGATTCACATGATAATCCACACCGGAAAGAAACCATTCACATGCACTCAGTGTGGGAAGAGTTTCAGCCAATCATCACACCTTAATGACCACATGATGATCCACACTGGAGAGAAACCATTCACATGCACTCAGTGTGGGAAGAGTTTCATTCGGTTATCATTGCTTAATCAACACATGATGATTCACACTGGAGAGAAACCATTCACATGCAATCAGTGTGGGAAGAGTTTCAGGCAATCATCATACCTTAATGAACACATGAAGATCCACACCGGAGAGAAACCATTCACATGCACTCAGTGTTGGAAGAGTTTCAGCCGCTCATCAGAACTTAATCAACACTTGAGGATCCACACTGAAGAGAAACCATTCACATGCACTCAGTGTGGGAAGAGTTTCAGCTGCTCATCATCCCTTAATAAACACATAAGGATCCACACTGGAGAGAAACCATTCACATGCACTCAGTGTGGAAAGAGTTTCGGCCGCTCGTCATACCTTAATCAACACATGAGGATCCACACTGGAGAAAAACCATTCACATGCACTCAGTGTGGGAAGATTTTCGGCCGCTCATCATACCTTAATCAACACATGAGGATCCACACTGGAGAGAAACTATTCACATGCACTCAGTGTGGGAAGAGTTTCGGCCGCTCATCACACCTTAATCAACACATGAGGATCCACACTGGAGAGAAACCATTCACATGCACTCAGTGTGGGAAGAGTTTCAGACAACCATCACTCCTTTATCTACACACGATAAGCCACAACGGAGAGAAACCCACAGCTTCGGTGTGGGATGAGTTTTAGCAACTCCTCAGACCTTAATAAACACATGATGACCCACACTGTAGATAAACCATTCACATGCACTCTGTTTGGGAAGAGTATCAACCAATCAGTAAACCCTAATGAACACATTAAGATCCACACTGGTGTGAAAGAGTATATGTGCTTTGAGTGTGAGAAGACTTTTATTACAGCTCTAAAATTAAAACTGCACCAGACGTTTCACACTGGACAGTAGTGATGGAAAGTTCGTATCATTTTACTTACTTGGATCTTTGAGTCTCGTTCATCAAGATGACAGAATCTTTTTTCGGAGTCACGTGACGGTAATGGCGGAGTAGCAGCTCAACATTTGGTCTCCGCAGCTCAGTGGTATATTTTTAGTATATAAAATAAGACATATAACGGCATATACTTTAAGACCTTGTGAATGGACATACAATCATGCCCACTACCCAGAAGAAGTTGAATCTGTCGGCAAAAACCTCTAAATCGACGGAGATTAAATCGCCTCAGGAGGACAGTCAATCAACGATCATGGCGGACCAGGCATAGTCGTTGCTGAGCCGAGCTGAGACACACAGCTTGGTAGAAAGAATATCAACAGAGGTGCTTAAAGGTGTCAAAAGCTCGTTTGAAAAGAAAATCGACCCTGTTCTTATGAAACTTGAGGAATGTTCCTCAAAAATTGGGACTTTGGACACGCAAATTACTGAGGTAGAATGCCGTGTATCAGACTCCGAGGATGCGATGACCACCTATGGTGTGAAACTTACTGATCTCGCGGAAAAACTGGCGTCCGTGCTGTCAAAAATAGACCATCTGGAGAACAAAAACAGAAGATGCAATGTGCGGGTCGTCGGTCTTCCAGAGGGATGCGAGGGCAGTAATCCGATCTCTTTTTTCAAATCCTGGTTACCAGAGCTGCTACAGGTCAGTTTCAAAGGTGAGCATGTTAAACTGGATCGATGCCACCGCGCCCTCACTCGCCGCCCACCGCCTGGCCAGCGACCCCGAGCAGTTATCCTAAAGTTTCACAACTTTCAGTATAAATTTCGGATCATGCAAGCGGCGAGACAAACGTGCACGCTGTCCTACAACGGTGCTTCAATTATGATATTTGAGGACTTTTCTGTGTTGGTAATGAGGAAAAAGCAGGAATTCTACCATGTTAAACAGCAGCTTAAAGAGAAGGGTATTGCCTTTGCCTTGTTATATCCAGCAGTTCTCAGGGTCAAGGTGAACGGTCAGGAGAGGTCTTTCAAGGACCCAAAGGATGTCATAGCATTTCTGGCGTCTGCCCCACTACAGAGCGGCTCACCTGACCGCACTGCTACTGACTGAGCATCCTTTCCCCATCCCAGTATGGTTTTAGAGGGTTTAGCTGTTGAGATCGGACATTTGGTTTGAGGTCTACATTTTATTATAACAATTTATTATCGAAAATTAGTATGGTTTCTTTAATACTGACAGATCCATATGTGATTACTTTTTCATTGCCATTTATGTCGCAATATTTGACTGAGCTGCAGTCCGGAAGTTTTTCTGTTACCTAAAGGTAGCTTATCGAAGCCTTAGAAAGGTTTTTTTTTTTATTTATTTTTTTGCTTGTTTTTCGTGTGCTGGTCCTGCACCTTCTCTATAACTAGAGGGAAGCTAGCTGACGCCCAAAATGGGCGTAACAGACCAAAGTCTGACTCCTTTTCGTTTCGTTAATATCTCTTTTTTTTGTTCCAATTTTTTTGATGTACATAGTTTTTACTTGATTCTTCTAAAATTGTGCAAAGAACGATTTTACCCCTGCATTTTTTTCTTGTTTTTTTTTCTTCTTTTTTACCTGCGTTTTCTCTCATTTTGTGGCTCCTTTTGTATTTTATTTTTTGACACATAATGTCTAGTAACTCAACGTTAAAAATTTGTAGTTGGAATGTGAGAGGGATACACAATCCTATTAAGAGAAAGAAAATTCTTAGCTTTCTAAAGAAAGAACAGGTCCATATAGCCCTATTACAAGAAACCTATTTATCGTCTGCTGAGCACGCTAAGTTAAATAGTGACTGGGTCAGACAGGTGCTTAGCTCTTCTTTTACTACCAAAAGCAGAGGTGTTGCCATCCTAATTAATAAATGTTTACCCTTACTTGAAGTTAAAACGGTCTCAAACAAATCGGGAAGATATATTATATTAAGAGGCTCTCTTTATGGGCAAGACAATTCAGTTTTAAATATATATTTTCCACCTATTCAGACCACAGATTTTATTTCTAAGGTTTTTCAAAATTTGCGGATTGGCTTTGTGACAACACAGTTATAGCAGGTGATTTTAATTGTTTTTTTCTCCTTAGTAGTAGATCAATGTCCTTCAACACAAAATGATGGTCAGATGTCGAATAGAGCCAAAGCTGTTTTGGATACCTGCAAAGAACTTGATCTGGTTGATACTTGGAGGGTGTTACACCCTAATGATAAGGAGTTTACATATTATTCAGCTGTTCATAAAACCAGTAGTAGAATTGACTTGATCTTCACCCCCAAAATTTCTTTTAGTAAAGTTGAGTATTGTAATATTGGGGATATTTTGATATCCGATCATGCACCTGTCTGTATAGGCATAAATTTCAGTAACTTGACACTCCCTAAACAATGAAGGTATAATTCCTACCTAAATTTTGACCCTAATTTTGAAGGTTTTTTAACAGAACAGATGAATCACTTTTTTGTAGAAAACAAAACTCTGGGTGTTTCCCCAGGGTTACTTTGGGATACAGCAAAAGCATATGCTCGAGGTTTAATTATATCATATTCAGCTGGGCTTAGGAAAAAAGTAGAAGAGAACAGAAAAACTTAGAGCTCAAACTACATGATCTACAGGCCAGATATAATTTGTCTCCCTCAGATGAACTAAGATGTGACATACAAATAACAAAAACGGCATTGGAAGCGATACTTACTTAAAGGTGGAGAAATCAATGTTCTTTGTAAAGCAAAGAATGTACGAATTTGCTAATAAACCTAATCGCTATTTGGCTAATCTTTTGCGGGTTAGGACATCTACTCAAAATATACCTTGTATTAAAGAGTTGAATGGTTCTTTGAATTATAATAATAAGGAAATTAATAATAGTTTTAGAATCTTTTTTGAGCAATTGTACACATCTCAATTTAATTATAGTGCGGAAATTAATATGGAAGCTTTTTTTACAAACCTATCTCTTCCTCAAATTTCAGATGACCAGAGAAAGATATTAGACGCTCCATTAACTCTCAGTGAATTTAAGAATAGTATTCAATCTCTCCCTAATAACAAGGCACCAGGTCCTGATGGTCTCAGTGCAGAGTTTTATAAAAAGTTTGTCAGTATTTTATCTGGCCCGTTACATGAAATGATTCTTCACTCATTTGAAAAAGGGGTCCTTCCCCCTTCAATGATGGAAGCTAATATTTCCTTGGTACAAAAAAAGTAAACCAGCTGATGAATGCTCCTCTTATAGGCCCATATCTGTTTTAAATATAGATTCTAAGCTTTTTGTCAAAGTACTGGCTTCTCGATTGGAGTCAATACTACCCTCTATTATTAATAACGATCAGACGTTTATACGGGGTAGATTCTCATCACATAATATAAGAAGGTTTTTTAACATTATTAAACATTGTTCTTTGTGTAGCCCAGACTCACTGGTTATATCACTTGATGCAGAAAAGGCTTTCGATCGGTTGGAATGGCCATACCTTTTTTTGTACTTAAAAAATTTGGGTTAGGGGCTGACTATATTAATTGGATCTTTATATTATACAATTTTCCTCTTTCTGCTGTAATTACTAATAGTCTTCGATCTAGTAACTTTAATATTGAAAGAGGTACAAGACAAGGATGTCCGTTGAGCCCTTTACTTTTTGCCCTAGCAATGGAACCCTTAGCGGTAAAAAATAAGACAGGATACAAACATCCAAGGTATTTCTTTAAAGCATCAACAGCATAAATTTTCGTTATATGCTGATGATGTTTTGATTTACTTAGAGTCCCCTAAGAAATCTATACCTAATTTGATAACACTAATTAATGATTATGGATCTTTCTCTGGTTACAAAATACATTTTTCTAAGAGAGAAGCCATGCCTCTTAATAATTCGCATAGATTAAATCCTAGTATATCGCATCCATTTCGGTGGTCCCCCGGGGGCTTTTATTACTTGGCCATAAAAGTTTCCTCTCAGATATCAGACTTATAAAGTCTAAACTTCATTCCCCTTTTACAATCGGTAATACAAAATTTGGATAGGTGGTGTGCCCTACCATTATCCTTACTGGGTCGTATTCATCTCATTAAAATGAATGTTCTTCCACGCTTTCTCTACTTATTTCAAATGCTTCCTATTAAAATTACTAAAAAAGTTATAGCCCAGTTGAATAGTGCTATAATTTCATTTATTTGGGCTAAAAAAAGACCAAGACTACGATATAGTGTCCTTATTCTCCCCATTAAATCAGGTGGTTTAGCTGCCCCATCCTTTTTATATTATTATCTGGCTGCTCAGTCTAGGTTTCTTTTAGAATGGCTTATAGATGACCCAGAATCTACTTGGATTGGACCTGAAGCTACATCCCTGGACAGGATTCCCCTACGTAATTTGCTTTATATCTCAACTGCTAAAGCTTCTGCTCTGATCAAAGGTAATAGTATTTTAAAGAATATGTTATACATATGGCGACAAATTAGAAAACGTTAAGGTTATGAGAATTGTTTCTCACTATTAACCCCTCTCCATGGAAATCCAGATTTCCCACCAGGCCTTAGAGCTGGGCTGGAAGATTGGAGTGATAAGGGCATTAAAATGGTGGGTGATATTATTCAGGATGGTACGATTCTCACATTCCAACAGATTAAGGATAAGTTTAGTATTCCTAATGTGGACTTTTTTAAGTATCTACAGCTTCGAAACTTTATTTTGACAAAATGTAGAGATTACCCAGGAGGATTTGGTATTTCCCCAGTTGAATCACTTCTTGCCATTGAGAAGCAGGTCAAATGCATTACACGGCGTGTCTATGTAACCGGTTCTGCGTTGTGTTTTCTTATTTTTATGAAGGAATTACCAGTCGGAGATCTGCAGTTGTTGACGGCTCTTTACTCAATGAGAATAAACCAAAAGCACAGCTTTTACAGTGTGTCTTCGCCCTTACAGCTTTTCTCGCCCATGCGCAGTCAGTGCAGAAAGGGGAGAGATGGAGAGAGAGATAGAACAAAACTCCAAACAATATTAACAAAGTGACAACCCAGCTAGCAATTTTACGTTCCCTGAACATTCTTAGAACGTCCCTGTCGGTGTTAAGGACGTTCTGAGAATGTCACAATTTTGAGTTATTTAAGGGTTTGGAGGACGTTATTTGGGGGACCTTTACAGAACATTCAGAACGTTCTCAGAATGTTTAGGGGACCAAACCTTATTGGAAAATTTGACATTCTCAAAACGTTCTCATAACGTGCTTGTTGGTGTTAAGGCCGTTGTCTAGTAACGTTCCCAGAAGGTCAAGATTACTTTACAAGAGGAATTCTTTAAAGGCGTGAGGGACGTTATTTTGCGGACCTTCACAGAATGTTATTTTCTTGTCCTGAATGTTAGAGACAGAAAGAGCTCAATCAATAAAATGTTACTAAAATTGGCTTTATTGGCAGAAAACATAAAGCATTTGTCAAACAATTTAATTTTTAATATGCTGTGTCTGTGTGTGTTTGTGTGCGTCTCTTAGTCACGTTCTCTATGGTCCAGTTGTCTTTCTGCTGCCTGAAACAAAGCATAAATAACAATATTTACAAATAGGTTCACTTACTTTGTATTTATTTTATTTTTTTACTTTCAGGTGTACACAGTGGTGCTTGAGTCTTATAAAATAATTCAAAATTAATATATTTTGAAATAAAAAAAATGCATAAATCTCCATATCTACATCCCACTTATCTATTTTTAAAGAACTGCCACTCAAATATCATTTGATAAGAAAACGGTGTTGCACACTCCACTGAAGACATCCATAAGCCTACATAGTTATTTTCGTTTGCGAAGCGCATAAATTTGTTTCCAAACTACTTCTTTTTTTTTTATTAGAATATGCAAAAATCTTACAAATACAAGAAAACATCAACAAATAACCAATACAAAGCAACGAAACAAAAACAAAACAAAAACAACAACAATATAGTGAGGTACTGGTATGTGCGTGAGTGTGTGCGTGTGAGTGTGAGTGTGTGTATGCATGTAAAGGTAACTTAGTGGACAGGTCAGAGTACATACATTAGAAACAATAACAGTCAATAAATGAAGCAAGTGTCACAGATATAGATAAAACATAGAAAGAAACCAGTTAATAAAAAAGGTCACAGTGCATTTAAACAACGCCTACTATCTGCTGCTCTAGATTACCCCCTAGCGGACACTCCATGAATTACGTTTGTCATTTTCTTTTTACCTGTTCTTTGTATTTTTTATTTTTAATGAATCCAATTTATTTAATAGTATATTTTAATGATGATATTGATCTTTAAACCACTACAGAGACACAATTCTTTCATCTACAGTTACACACGAGAGGAGTATCAGTGCAGCGACACAACAGGACAACTCCTGAGCCTCTCAATGCCTGTGCTGTTCTCATCAGAGCAGTCACACATGGGGAATATAACACAAGCTGTGCTAGACTTCATGAAGAAAGATTAGAGTATATATGGGAAAACATTCATTTTGTTCTCTACAAATCTACATTGAGCTCTATGACACTGATTTGACCAAACTGTAAACATATTATTATTATTATTATTATTATATACGCTCCAGTACAGCAGGTGGCGGTATTCAGCTTTACGCTGCTCTCTGTAACTCGCCACACAGGAAGAAGAAGAAGAGGAGGATATCCAGGTATGTGTTTGTTCTGTCTTCTCTGTGTCGAGTGTTTATACTGCTTCAGGTAAAAATCACTCTAGTAAAATGTAACTCCGCAGGTGCTTTGATAACCCTGCAGCTGTTTGACTCTTCTCTGCTCTGTTTAGAGTGTTTGCTCCTTTAGAAACGAAAGTGAAAGTGTTTAGTTGTGTCGCCATTTTAAACAGACGAAATCCACCATTTACAACGCAGAACAGCTTTAAATCTTTAATGTCATGACTAAACCTGTAAGCTTTATGTGAATGTGTGTATGATGTTATTATAATCAAACGGGTGACGCTGTGATTCTTCATCAGTTTACTCGTGATGAGCTTCTGGATTTGAGTGTCTCAGCTGCTGATCTATTCCTGCATTCAGCTGAATTATGAAGGCTGATCAATGACTGGAGATCTGTGATTGTTCATCAGTTTCTGCTGGAGATCAAACTCTTCAGGTCCATCATGGAGGACACACACACACCTGGAGATCTGGATTTGTCTACAGGATGCAGGTATTAGACCTACACGTGACATTTCATATGATTATTTTCAACAGGAAGTTGAATGTGCTGACTCATCTGAGTGAGACGCGATTGCCATCCGTGAGATATTGTGAAGTGCGGGGTAAAGTTATTGCCAAGTGAGTTTGTTCCTTCATATCATGTTTGTAATTACCCTTGTATGCTTGATATTAAGTGCGTGATGTTGTTAATGACCCGCGATCGGCCGCGAGCATTAGTTTCCGTGTAAACCAAAAGTGAAAGTGCTGCTACCATCAGCATCGCGGCTAATCCCGATGTCCTCGTTGAGATCTCGTTTGTTTTATTATGATTCAGTTTACTATATTCTACATTTGTTATGCCTTATGCTGTCACATGCCCTTTATATAATGCAGCTTTAGTCATAGATGTCTATTTATATTCTGTTTACATTCAGCATACATTAGTCTATTGACTGCACTTTAAGAGAGCTGCAAATACTGTGTTGTTTGGTTTGGGATATTTATTGTGTCAGTACATATATATATATTTTCGTGTTTGATATTTTATTATTTATGTATACTTATTGTTTATTACAGGAAACTACCTCCCTGCTCATAAATAAAAGATTGAAATTATCTCCTGACTCCTACTCCTTAACCAGAGTGCTAAAGTGGTCAGCAACATTTTAAGAACTGGCATTCTAAATTGGGCAATACCCAACAAATGGTCCTTCGAGCCGGAGCACTGACTGCTTCAGAATGTCAGCAGATGGCAATCCAACATCTCCTTCTCATGCCAGACCATTACGACAATGTCAAGCCCCCAGGTATCTAGAGGATTATGTCCTTGACTCCCATCACCGACCTGCCCTCACCTCTAGTACGGTTCAAAGTGTAATGGAGGAGCCAAAAGGCGCAGCAGCCGCAGTGTATTCGAGTCAAATTAATGGAAACCATAAACGAGAAGGACAAAGAAGAAAATGCTGAAATGCACAGTCTTCTCAGGAAATTAGAGCAGCTCAAGAAACGGAAACAGCGCAGAGAGGAGATGATGGAGCACATTACGTCTTTCATAAGGGAGGAACAGGGAAATGAGAACAATGAACCAGTACAGTCTTCTCCTGCATCTTCTAATCCATCAAGTCCTCCACCCTTACCCTCATGGGAAACAGTACCACAATCAGAGCACCAAGTTGCTGCAGGCTTATCAATGGGACCAGAGGAGAAGTCACATCAGATGTCAGCTATGGTTTCTAGACCAACGGTGGGGAGCCATAATGCTGCTTATGAATCAGTCAATCAGAGTTGTCCACAAACTACAGGTTTTTTGTGTTCCCCTCCCTCATCTGGCATGGCATCTCCTGTTCCCCATCTGCCACAGTCACAGCTATATGAGCCCATGTCCTCTCAGGCTCCCAGACCTCTCCCTAGGCAGGAACAAGCTAGCACTGCTCATTCAGAACGATCATTCCACCCCCTTGAACCACAGGTGATTTCGCCAACACCAGTCTATCCACGTTCTATGGCACCTTATGGCTATATTGCAACACCATACTCACAAATGCAGTTGGTGAATGCACCCAATTCACACAATCTTGCCCCTCCGTATCAAGCAATGATGTCATCAACATTACTTCCCCAAAATATGTTCTCAGGCCCAATGCCTTCAGTGAGCACGGCTGCAGTCGCACCACAGTTGGTCACAGCTCAGGTAGCAGCACCACCCAATGGTAGTATACCTCAACGTGCTTTATACAGCCCCCCAAAACCAAAAATTCCAGACTTCACAAACGACAGTGAACGAGATTTTGCTAATATGAAGCTAGCATTGGACAATTTGCTTGAACCTTACCCTGAACTAACAGAAAAGTACAAATACCATGTACTATTGGAGCATCTTAAACTTCCTGAAGCTCAGATGATAGGGCAGTCATGTAGGCATCATCCATATCCCTATTCAGCAGCTATGCAAGCACTTCAATTACAGTATGGTCAGCCCCATCAACTGGCTCAAAGTGAAATAGCAGCCATCCTCACAACACCAGATGTAAAGCCCAATGATGGTCATAGCTTTCAGAGTTTCGCTTTGAGAGTTCATCTTCTGGTCAGTATGCTGCTGTCACTAGAGGGACCCCGAGGGATGGAGCTTAACTGTTGCTCGTATGTGGACCGCTTGCTTAGCAAGCTACCAAAATACCTTCGAGATGGCTTCATTGAGTTCCTACAACAGCAGGGAAAACTTAATGCCTTAAGTTTGAACCCTTATAATCTGCAAGACTTCGCTGGGTGGCTACAAGTCAAAGCACAGCAGCAGCGGCTGTCTAATCGACTAATGCAACGCTATCAACATGAAAGGCCTTCAAGTATTGGAAAGGAGAAAACTCAAGCCAGAACAAAGGGGACAAGCTTAGTACTTTATCAGGGTGCGGCCCCCAATGAGACTGCTCTCCCTACCCATCCTAAAGAGAACAAACAAAGGAAGCCACTTAAGGTACAATGTCTGTTCTGCAATAGTAAAGAACATTACATTACACGCTGCGACAATATCAAAGAGCAGTCAGTCGCAGAGCTCCATAAATGGATTTCAGATGGAAGGCGATGCTGGAAATGTGCAAGATTTCATGCACCAGAGATGTGCAACCTCAAAAAGCCATGCAGTGACTGTGGTAGAATACATCTAAAGGTGCTCCATCGTATCGCACCTAATGATCAACCAAACACATCAGGTACGCCAGAGAGTCGTATTTACCTCACCCCTGCCAGTGTGACCTGTAGAGTGCTTCTTAAAGTGGTTCCAGTGTTGCTACATGGCAAGTTCAAATCAGTAGAAACCTATGCTATACTAGATGATGGAGCGCAACGAACTATTGTCTTACCTATGGCTGCACAGATGCTTCAGTTGAAAGGTGAACCTGAAGTACTGACTTTACGCACAGTGCGAGCAGATGTTACCCATCTTTCTGGATCCAAGATTAATCTGGAAATTTCCCCAAAAGGCGAACCCAATAAACGTTTTCAGATACTTGACGCCTTCACAGCTTCCGGTTTGGATCTAGTTGAGCAATCATATCCAGTACAGAGACTTCAAAAGCTGTATGCTCACCTTAGAGGGCTCCCTCTACAGTCCTTCCACAACGTACGCCCACTAGTACTGATCGGATCAGATCATGTTCATCTTATCACAGCCGATAAGCCAGTCCACCAAGGAATCAAAGGTGGCCCAGTTGCAATACACACAGCCCTCGGATGGGCATTACAAGGAGCAGAGAAGAGCACACCAATCCACAATTCAGTACAGCAGTGTCTTTTTACAGCGGCCTCCTGTCCCAATGACTTGCTTTATCGCAGTGTTGAAAAGTTATGGCAACTGGACATCTTGCCTTATCGAAATGAGAAACTGGTGGTTCGTTCCAGGGAAGACCAAGAAGCAATCAAACTTCTTGAGTGCAAAACACAGACAATTAATGTGGAGGGTGTCCAGCGGTATGCCACCCCTCTCCTGCGCAAACCTGGGGCTCCTACACTATCGAGTACGACTCGATCTGTCATGCCTACTTTGAGAAGTATTGAGAGGAAACTCCAGAGAGACCCTGAGAAAGCAACCATCTACTCTCGTGAGATTGAGAAGCTCATTAAAGCAGGCTATGTCACTAAAATTTGTCCAGAAGAAATCAGCCAGTCTAAAGAGGCCTGGTACATACCCCACCACCTGGTGTGTCACAATGATAAACCAAGACTGGTCTTCAATTGCTCATTCAGGTCTCAAGGTCAGTCTCTGAACGATCAACTTCTCCCAGGGCCTGCACTTGGTCCATCATTATTGGGCGTTCTTTTAAGATTTCGTCAATACAATGTGGCTGTAAGTGCAGATATCAGGGGAATGTTCCATCAGGTTCGCTTGTTACCTGAGGACAGACCTCTTCTCCTCTTCATTTGGCGAGATCTGCAATATGAGAATTGTCCAGATGTATATGAATGGCAGGTTTTGCCATTTGGTACAACCAGTAGCCCATGTTGTGCCATTTTTGCTGTGCAGCAGCATGCTCGCAATAATCAAGAGAGCTACCCAAGTGCTTTACAGACATTCCAGCAAAGCTTCTATGTGGACAATTATCTAGCGAGTTTTCCCACCACATCGGAAGCCAGGGTGTCCGTTGATCAACTGCGCAGCCTACTAGCTACAGGTGGCTTTGACCTTAGACAATGGGCTAGCAACCAGCCCGCAGTGATCTCGCATCTACCCACTGAGGCAAGATCTTCAGCTGCAGAACAGTGGCTTGCACAAAATAGAACTGATCCAATGGAACCAACTCTGGGCCTCAGGTGGAACTGTGCTGCTGATACACTGGGATACCACTATCGTCCAATAGAACATGCTACCCTGACAATGAGAACAGCGTATCAAATACTAGCCACACAGTATGATCCACTGGGCTTCATTGTGCCCTTTACCACGCGAGCCAAGGTGCTCATTCAACAGTTGTGGTCTAAAAAGCGAGATTGGGACGACCCAAATTTACCACAAGATCTCATGAATGGGACACATGGGACAATGAGTTAAAACATCTCAGCGATATAACCATACCTCGTTGCTACTCATCTATTCCCCATGATGCACAACAACAGTACGAACTACATGTGTTCTGTGACGCATCCGAATGGGCTTATGGGGCTGTGGCTTACTTGGTGGAGTATGCAGATGTTATTCATTCAACCTTTGTCATGGCCAGATCAAGAATTGCACCTTAGAGGCAACAATCCATACCTCGACTGGAGTTATGTGCTGCACTAGCAGGTGCACAGCTGGCAAAGCTCCTGAAGGAGGAGATCACCCTTAAAATCCAGCAGATAGTTTTATGGACTGATTCTACAACTGTGCTAGAGTGGCTCCAGTCCGATTCATGTCGATTTAAAGTTTTTGTTGGAACACGGGTCTCAGAAATCCAGGATCTGACTGAGCATAATACTTGGCGCTATGTTGACACACAGCAAAACCCAGCAGATGATATCACCAGGGGTAAACCACTCCAAAGTTTTACCATTCCTGGGCGCTAGAGTCAGGGACCCTCATTCCTAAACCTGGGTCCTGAGCACTGGCCAAAAAGACCTGAACCATCAAGGTCAGAAGGATTACCTGATTTAAAGGGTGCCAATATCTGTTGTTTAATGACTGTGGTGCCAGATCATACTTTCCCCGATGCCACTCATTTCCATACATGGAAAGAGTTAGTGGAAGCGACTCGACAGGCCGATGGAAAGGCGGCAGGTAGTCAACCAGATACGCAACTCATGGACCATCGCACAGCAGAATTGGAATTAATAAAAGGGTGTCAGGCTCAAAGCTTTCCTGAGGAGACCGCAGCCCTCAAAATGCACAAACCTGTACCAAATCACAGTCGATTAAGATGTCTTGCTCCAGAGTGGGATCCGGTGATGGAGGTAATCAGAGTCGGAGGCTGGAAAGCCTAAATGCTGAGGAAACTCACCCTATAGTATTAGACCCACAGCATCCAACCACAAAGCTTCTCATCAAAGAGTTTGATGAGCGCCTGCTCCACCCAGGTACAGAAAGAGTGTACGCCGAACTTCGGAGACAATATTGGATCTTGAGGGGGCGGCAAGCTGTTAAACATCACCAGCTTAAATGTTCATCATGCCAACGATGGAGAGCTCAGCCTAAGGTACCAAAAATGGCAGACCTACCACCAGAGCGGCTCAGGATTCTTTGCCCACCATTCTACTCTACTGGAGTAGACTGTTTTGGTCCATATCAGGTAAAAATAGGCAGACGAGTGGAGAAACGTTGGGGAGTCATTTTTAAATGTCTCACAACAAGAGCGGTTCACATTGAGCTCCTCAACTCCATGGATGTGGATGCCTTCTTGCTTGCTTTGCGACGATTCATAGCCAGACGTGGCAGACCAAAGGAGCTTAGGTCAGATTGTGGTACAAACTTCCGTGGGGCTGATCGAGAGCTAAGAGAAGCCTTTGCTGCCATGGAATCCCCATTAAAAGAGCGGCTAGCTGATCATCAGATCACATTTAAGTTCAACCCTCCTCATGCACCGCATTTCGGTGGCACTTGGGAACGAGAGGTTCGTTCCATAAAGACTGCTCTACGGGCAGCAGTTGGTGGCCTGTCTGTCTCAGAAGATGTCCTCACTACCGTATTAGTAGAGGTAGAGGGCATTTTGAACTCAAAACCGCTTGGATATGCCTCCACTGATATTGCAGATCCAGATCCTATTACACCAAACCTTCTCCTCATGGTGCGGCGGGATGCGTCACTCCCACAAGTGACTTATGCTTCAGGGGAAATGGGACGGCGCAGATGGCGCCTTTGTCAAAATCTTGTGGATCAGTTCTGGACTCAGTTTACAAGGAATTACTTGCCCACATTACAAACCCGCCAAAAGTGGCAAACTTCATCCGACAATCTAAAAGTGGGTTCAGTGGTTTTGATTGTTGACCCACAATTGCCCAGGGCTCAGTGGCCCATTGGCAAAGTAGCCGAGACTGTTATCAGTGATGATGGATGTGTAAGATCTGCAAACATAAATGTTCAAGGTAAAGTGTACACTAGGCCAGTAGCCCGGCTCATTCAGTTGCCAGCCTTTCAAGATGACAGTAAAGACTCTTAAAGAATTCTCTTTACTTGCACATTTGCTGTTCAAATGTGGGGGCGGCTGTTCTGAATTCTTTATACTATGGCTGTAACACGATTTACTGAGTGTTCTGTAAAAGGCTTATATTATGAATGTAGGATGTAACTTCCGGAGGATGCATATTTGAGTCCATATATGAGAAGTTGAATGTGCTGACTCATCTGAGTGAGACGCGATTGCCATCCGTGAGATATTGGGAAGTGCGGGGTAAAGTTATTGCCAAGTGAGTTTGTTCCTTCATATCATGTTTGTAATTACCCTTGTATGCTTGATATTAAGTGCGTGATGTTGTTAATGACCCGCGATCGGCCGCGAGCATTAGTTTCCGTGTAAACCAAAAGTGAAAGTGCTGCTACCATCAGCATCGCGGCTAATCCCGATGTCCTCGTTGAGATCTCGTTTGTTTTATTATGATTCAGTTTACTATATTCTACATTTGTTATGCCTTATGCTGTCACATGCCCTTTATATAATGCAGCTTTAGTCATAGATGTCTATTTATATTCTGTTTACATTCAGCATACATTAGTCTATTGACTGCACTTTAAGAGAGCTGCAAATACTGTGTTGTTTGGTTTGGGATATTTATTGTGTCAGTACATATATATATATTTTCGTGTTTGATATTTTATTATTTATGTATACTTATTGTTTATTAAAGGAAACTACCTCCCTGCTCATAAATAAAAGATTGAAATTATCTCCTGACTCCTACTCCTTAACCAGAGTGCTGAAGTGGTCAGCAACATAAAGAACTGGCATTCTAAATTGGGCAATACCCAACACTTATACACATATAAACCCTTCATCATCGTCACAAATCAGTGTAATGTAGAAGTGTTAAACTCACATGCAGAAGTACAGACGCTCTTGTGCAGCAGGAACACAATCTGAGCTCTTTCACTCTTTCACTTCACTAAAACACACCTGTGTGATCTACAGGTATATCCTGAAATATTACTGGCTCCACAGAGTGACACTGACATGAATATTCATGAGATTCTCCTGACTGTGGGCGTGTCCTCGAGACAACACTGGAGCTGAAGATATCTGTGCAGCTTCTCTGAGCTCGAGTGTGTTGAAGGAAAATTTCGAGAAAGTTTTAAGAAAACAAATGAGTGTTGGAGCTATAAAATAAGAATATAGATAACATTATGGGTTTATATATGAATACAGCACTTACAGATCTCTGTGTTAGTTCATATATTCTACAGGACACTTTACAATAAGACCTACATTAGATCAGTCAGTACTGGAACTGATATAACAAGCAACTCAAGATGATCAGGATGCTGAAACTAGCACAGAATATTACTGTTAGACACAACATTAGCTGAACCCAGTGAATATACAAGGGAGAATCACATCAAGTGTTAATAAAGATGAAGAATCAAGAGAAAATAAGACTTTAACTTCAGCTGAAATGTTGTTTTATTCAATATCTCATTTGACTTTACATTAAAATTCAGTTTTCTTTATCAAATACAAACTCATACACACGACAACATCCAGTGAAATGCTTATACGACCAGCCATGACCTTAAACACAACAAGATTAAAGATGAGAAATAAATGACTGAATGAAATAAGAAATAAAATATAGACAAACTTTAGTCATAGGAGATATATCTGTAGAGAATAAAATCAACACATTAAACCCCGCGGCTGTACAACTGTAGAGAACTTTAGCTGTAGACTGACTCCATGTACAGTGACACCATAACTGACCTGAACTAGGATACACACAGAGATGTGTGTGTGTGTGTGTGTGTGTGTATGTGTGTGTGTGTATATAAGAGTCTGTATGTGTGTGTGTGTGTATGTGTGTGTGTGTGTGTGTGTGTGTGTGTGTGACTGTGGCTGAATGTGCAGATGTGTCCACAGACTTGCTGAATGTGTGTGTGTGTGTGTGTGTGTGTGTTGTGATTGAGAGAGCGTCTGGTCTGTGTTCAGAAGCTCCTCCTCAGTGTCTCTGTGTTGGTCTTGATGCAGCAGAAGTCTTTATTTCTCTGAGCGCAGCAGGAAAGCTTCAGCTAAAC